TATTCAGTTGCTCAAAACCATCTTTAGGGTCCATGTTACTTTCCATCTTCTGCCCTGCCACCCTTAGGGCATCAGCTTTGCCATCACAGGCCATCTCTCCCCGAAGCTGCAAGATGGTGCCACAATCCAGCATCACATGCAGATATGACATTGTCCCACAGGAAAAGAGGAACAGCTTCTGTCCATGCCTCACCTTTTGGAGTACAAAATTCTCTCCCAGAAGCTCCCTGGAAGAATACCCATTATGTATTTTGGAACAGAGCAGGGTCACACGTCCACTTCCAAAACAATCACTGACAACAGAATGGTATCACTGTGAATGGCTTCAGTTACTCACAATTTACCCCTGAGCCACAGAGCGGAGGAATAGACACCTGGACAACAGTAGGACTCTGCCGGCAAGGAAGAAGGAGGAATGGCTACTGGACGGGCCGTTAACAGTGTTGGCTCTCTGGTGCCCCCCAAAGACCAGGCTGGATTCCCAGCAAAACCAACTCTCGTAATTTTTCCGAGGAACTTCTCCATAAACCAGGGAAAAACTTTGGCAAATTTCATTGAGAAAATTACACCAAGGTTTAATTGGTTAATGAACAACATATTTGGGTGCTAAGGGCACCCCCACTTTTTAATTTTCTTACTCTCAGGACCCTTTTATCAACGTTCAGTTGTATTCTGTGACATTTTTCCTAACGGGTTGGGAAGGATCTACAATCTATTTCACAGGTCGGTCACAGAGGTTATTCATTCATTCATTCATTTATCAAATACTATGCTTGTATTACGCACTGAGGACACAAAGGAAGTCCTCCTAAGGACTTGTCATTGAAGTTGGGGCCCACCCTAGTGCAGAATGATCTCCTCACTCACAGGAACTGAAGTCCAAGCTCGTAACATTTATTGAAGAGGCTGTCCTTTCTCCATTGTACTTTTTTGGCTCCTTTCTTGTAAATTAATTGCTCATATACGTGGGTTTATTTCTATTTCATTGGTCTGGGTGTCTGTTTTTGTGCCAATACCATATTGTTTTGATTACTATAGCTTTGTTGTGCAGTTTGAAATCAGGGAGCGTGAACCTCCAGTTTTGTTCTTTCTGAAGACTGCTTTGGCTATTCGGGAGCTTTTGTAGTTCTACACAGATTTTAGAATTATTTGTTCTAGCTCTGTGAAACATGACATTGGAATTTCGACAGGGATGAAATTGAATCTGTAGATTGCTTTCACATGTATTCACATTTTAACAATATTCTTCCAATCCATGAGCCTGGAATATCTTTCCATTTATTTGTCTTTCTTGATTTTTTTCATCAGTTCTTAGCGTTTTCAGTGCACAGGTCTTTTACCTCTTTGGTTCAATTTATTCCTAGGTATTTTATTCTTTTTGATGCAATTGTAAATGGGACTTTCTTAATTTCTGTGATAGTTCATTATTAGTGTATAGAAATGCCATAGATTTATGTATATTGATTTTGTAACTTTACTGAATTCATTTATTACTACTAACAATTGTTTGGTGGTCGTTAGGGTTTTCTATATATAGTACATGTCATCTGCAAATAGTGACAGTTTTACTTCTTCCTTTCCTATTTGGATGCCTTTTATTACTTTTTCTTCCCTAATTGTGGCTAGAACTTCCAATACTGTGTTGAATAAAAGTGGTGAGAGTGCACATCCTTGTCTTGGTCCTGATCTTAAAGAAAAGCTTTCAGCTTTCACCATTGAGTAGGATGTTTGCTGTGAGTTTGTCATATATAGCCTTTATTATGTCAAGTTACATTCCCTCTATACTCACTTTGAGAGTTTTTATCATAAATAGATGTTGAATCTATTCTTTTCTAATATTATGTAATATCTAGAAATTTGTAGTATCTATAATAATCTTTCCAATTATCCTCCTGAGTACCCTAGCTTTCTGCCCCATCTTATTAAATCATGTTTATTTCTTATGGGGAGAAACTCAGCTCTTTGCCTCACTACACAAAGCCATAGTACTTTACCTGATATCTAAAATTCCATTAGGACACTTGATGAAACAGAGTCCCCATCCAGCACTGCCATCAGTACAGGGTGCCTGGCAGAAGCTCTTACCAATTTCCTTGCACTTGATCACTTTCCCAGGCAAGGTGCTCTCCTCACGCGCATCTGTGAGCAGGAGGGAGTAGCGTGGGGTTTTTCATGTTCTGATATAAATGCTGCCATCTCCCTCGGGGAGCAGAACTGCTTGATAGGTTGCTTTTATACAGAATGATATTAAAAGTGTGAACTTATAAATTTATCCTGATAAAATGTTGCTCTTAACTGCTTTGTATATAGGAGTCCCATGTTCATTAGACTTATTCATTAAATTAGAGATAATGGGGCTCTGTCAGTAAAAAACATTTGACGACCAGTGAGCTGGGGCTTTTATATTTGCTCCCTTCTAGTCAGAACAAGGACAGTTTCTTTTGCTTTCTTTTATGTTCCTGTTGAACCACTAAGATGCCTTCTCTCTCTTTAGTGTCTATTTTATTAACCTTTTTGTTTTCTCTCATACTCTGAAATCAGCAGAATGTCCACATACTGCCATCTGAGGCACCTGGGGACGTCCCATCCTAATTTCTCTCAATCAGAGCAGATTTTTACTTTCTCTTCCCTTGTACACGTGCTTTCATGGGCTAGATCTGCTGATTGTATAATTCTCACTAACAACTAACTGTTTTGGGTGCAGGGAGAAATAATTTTCCTAAAGTCATAGCATCCTTGAGAACAGTCAGCTGATCAGAATTTTAACTGGGTGATAGCATAGGTACACAATGTTGATTTAGCTAAAACAACAACTTAGAGTCTAGATATTGTCCCTCAAAATGAATACAACACTATTGACTGCTTTGGAAGAATATATGAATATTTTAATTATAAATTTAAAAAATATATAAACACCTAAAGTCTAGAACTGTATCCTCCAGGCTAACATGAAAAACTGATTTGTATAATGGTTAAGTTCTCAAAAGAAACAAAACAAGGGCCGGCCGAGTGGCGCAATGGTTAAGAACTGGCTTGGGACGCCAGAGGGCCCCGGTTTGGATCCCACATATGAGGGCCAGTGACACTGCCCTCCAC